TACTAGACTTAATCCTGACAATTTGATCAGTCCAGCATGTGAAATTTTCTCTTTCAATATTGTATTGAGGACAACCAAGTATTGATGAATATGTATCAATGCTCATCTAAACATGTGACCAAATTTACTCTCATAATTGTACAAAACCAATTTGCACTGTACTCATCGTTAAAGTCAGTACCAAACCCTCCCTTTCACAGAGAAAAATGCTCTGAAATTTATTCATTTTATCATGCCAAAGAGCAAAGATTTTTGGGCTTGCAATTAAAGAAGAATAAAGCTGGTTTGTCCAAAAATTTTAACATCCTCGATTAACAGTCCAGTATGTCCCTCACATTGCTCGTAGGTCCCGCGTGAATTAAAAAATTCAAACCTCCCCCCCCCCCCCCCCCCCCCCCCCCCCCAACCTCCCCCCCCCCGCCCCCCACGTGTGTGCGCTGTCATCTCCTATACGTCAAACAAAACTCATTAACGAATAAAATACTTACAAAGTGGATGTGGCAAAAATGAGGATGTATAAATGGAAATATTGATAAATTAGTGGAGTTGACCACGACTGAGGATAAGTAAGACAGTAACTATGTAGGTGGTTTCGATATGTTTTCAATAGATCTAGAGAGGTTTAATTCAAAAGAGTGGTGTGAAATGGGTCAAAAATTTTACAGAAGAGGGGGGAATGGACACAGACTAACATAATATGTTATAGTCGTTAATGATCTAGTAGCTTTGAATCATCTAGAATATCTAGTGATTGATCGCACTAAATGATAAAAGAAGATTCTTGAAACATACCCCATACTTGTAGAGGCCAAGTCTTGTTTAGTTGTTATTTACACTAAAATACATTTTTAAAGTAAAGAGACTCTAGATTACTCTAATGTAGCATAAATTTAATTGGAACTTTCTTTCCCCTTCCAACCCAGATCCATTATGTAAATATCTGGTCAGGTTTGGTAGTGTGGCAAGTGAATTTGGGGAAGGGAAACTACATATACCTAGATATTTGTGGGCTAGGAAAAAAGCCAACTAATTCAACTTGACTCGATTTAGCATGGTCGTTGAATCACTATCTTGTGAAGTTGGTAATACTACTGCTTAAGATCACATGTGAACAATTAAAAAGCAATGCCTCTAAGATTTCAAGTGCATATTTTCACTTGGTGGATTTTCTTGAGCTAATAGTAAAAGATTTCGATATAATGTTGATTGATGTATGAAATGAATCAATGTGAGATTGAGTGTGATAAGTTGAAATCTGATTATGAGTAGACAGAGCAATAAGCAGAAGTTGCCCCTACCACATGCTATTCTTTGGCTGCCTTTTAGTCGCATTTTTTTGTATTTATGATGCACTTTTTACATGAAAAAAGAGCAATGAATTCTAAGAAGGAAATTCTTGGAGGAAGTTAATTCCTTCTTTAGTCAAGATTTCAATTCTTTTTTTCTTAAACTCTTTTTCAATAAAACATTCTCTTAATAAAATAACTTTGCACATGAACGCATAACTTTTTCCTAATTTTTAATTATATATTTTTCAAAAAAAAAAATATTTTTCACAAAATATATTCTCAAAAAATTTACATTAAACATGCTTTAAGAAGGACGAAGCTGGAGAAAAAGAAAGGACCCCGGTTTTTATCAAGTTTATAAAGTTTCAATATACCCTTGTCAAACAAAGAAGCGACTGTGGAGAAGTTTATCAAGGAGAAAATCTTCAATGAGACAGTCATACCACATGGATGGTGCGATCGCCCAATGCTGAGGTGGCACCTCGACTGGTGACCCACACACATCGAGGGTGTGTGGTGGGCACCATGATAGGGCGGTTGCACTGCGCCCCATGGAAGATTTTCTCTTTATCAGGTAGGGATAAAATGGAGAAGTCAATTATACATTTTTAAATAAGGAAAATTCACAAAATACACTAATATGGTAACAAAACAATCATAAAAACTTTCCACCATTTATTGAAAGCCCCAACTTTCGTTATCGAACTCGTTTCTCCCATTACAACATTACTTATTTACTTTCCAGTTTCCACAATTTATTAAAAGTCATAAACATTTCATACAAACTTAAATCACAATAAAATCAATTCATAAAAACTTAAATCAAAACTCAAAAGAACAAGACTACTTACAGATAGAACTTAAAAATACCGCAAATTTCTAAACCAAGCATCACAATAAAACCAATTTCAACAAATTCCCCAAACAGTAAGTAAACTGTAAGCCTAAGCTGAAGCAATTCAAAAATCAAAACCCTAAAAATCAAAACAAATTACCCATGAACATAGGCAGAGAGAGAGAGAGAGAGAGAGAGAGAGAGAGAGAACATAACAAATTACTCAAAAAAAAAAAAAAAAAAAAAAAAAAAAAAAAAAAAAAAAAATTTTGCTTTTTTCAAATCAAATATCGACATTGTTTCAATAATTCGTAAATGCTCATAAGTAATGTTACGAAAATTAATTTTCACTTATTCAATGCTCGATCAGTGTGTGCTTGTGCATAGTAACATTTCATTTCACTCTTGTGGATGCACACCTCCCAAACTTTTATTTATTATCTTACTATATTTTCATTCTAAACTTAATTTCACCACTTGAAGTAACTAACTCGATATGAGATGATTCTCCTAAATTTGAGTGTCTCAACCTCCAAGTTTTACACTACCTTTGTTCCACCTATTAGTCAAAATACTCCATGCAAATTTTCAACGAGCACGAAGTCAATGCCTATCTCAATAGGCTCCAAACATTAGATCAACAACCCTCAAACGAATCTTTTCAAATGTTTAAATGATTGTGTTATATATTATGATCTTGGTTCATCAACTTAACTTCAAAATTAACTCAGTTTGTTCTGTCAATGTAATCAATACAAAACATATATGACAACCATCATGACTATTGTGTTCAAAATAACACAATCCCACATGGATAAGTATCAAATTAATAAAGTTGCATTACCTATTCACAATTCATGAACTATATATAAAAAAATTTAAATAATCATACTCATTAGTCGACAAGGCTATCGGATTCATACATGAATTTCTTTCAAATTTTCCAATTGTTTTTTAAATTTTTATGCGTATCACACACAAACAAATATATCAAACTATAACTAAGTTACTCCCCAAAACTTAAAATATGTAGTCGTTTTGCACTTGCGTCTTCATACGAATCATATATAACGTCTATATTACAACATAAAAAGGAAAATGTCTTCACGAGAATGTAACATTTTTCTTGTAGAAATATAGGGACAAATGAACGTATTAGACATCAAATTTGTACCAGTCGAGATCGGTCTTGAAAATAACTGTGCCAAACACCATTAAGAGCCAGTCGTAAATGGGTGATACAGATTTTTATTTTCTTTCTGAGTTAACTTGATAGAGTCCGTCTTTTTATTTGGACGATATACAGAGGTTGTGAATTTTTATCCGAACAGAACAAAATCTATCAGTATACCATTTTCTAAACCTCTTGGGCACAACACTGTAAATTAGTTCTATAGTAACATGTCACTTGATGTGAACAGCCCAAATCAGAGTGTCTCAAAAACTGCCTGAGTGCAAAAAGAAAGAGTATTTTCTTGTTAAAATAATCGATATTGAGCTAGAAGTATAAAACATGCCTGTGCAAGGTTGTGCTTGGTGAAGATAATTTTATGTACATAAGGATGTCCATACACTCGCATGAATGTGGGACTATACATAAAATTATGTACAACTAGATTAATCCGCTTGCGCACGCATATGTTTGACATGTTTATCTAAGATCTTCACAAGTAAAAGCAAGAGTCATCATTTCTTGCTAGAGAGCCCGTCAATAAAGGGGTCAAGAGTCATCACACCAAAAATTCATGTTCCTTTTAGATTTCGTTCTTAACCAATCAATAAATGAATTATTCCAACAACGTTAAAATGAATCCATTAAAGTCTAGCATTGCATAAAAAACATGCCGTTTGAGTTTACCGACAATAATACCAAAAAAATTCTATTAACTAAGATTAAACATGCTTAGATTCCACCTGACCTGGCCCTTAGATTAAGACCTTTCAAATGTGTTCTTACCTACCAAACATGTGCCAACAGTCTGACTCAAAAGCTTGATAGTGATTCTTCTTTTTCTACTTGTTTAAGACAATGCCGATGGGTGACATGATTCATCTTTTCTTTTTAAAATTTCTGGCCATCTAAGACAAACAAGAAAGACTCCTATAGAGAGACATCAAGAAATACAACCCCAACAAAGTGCATGTAAAGTTGCCAAACTTTTATGCATGCATAAAAGTTAGAAATCATGTCATCAATCATAATCAAAGTTTACATTGTAAACAAGCATGACGCACTTTAGTTGCATGGGATAAAAGAACATTATGTGTATTTCCTCTTTGTCATCCTTGGTTTAGGAGATTCTCCAACTCTTAACAAGTGAAAAGCTGCTCCGTTTGCCAATTGTTGAACCACTTCATCTAAAATTTAGTCTCATATTTCCATTCACGGCATGACACATAAACAGTTTTCACAAATGGGTGCCAGCACAACTTGAACCTACGACCTAGATAATCTTTAATACCATACTGAACCCCCTCATCTAAATTTTTCTCGTAAAAAGTGAATACGAAGATTTATTTATATTTAGTCTTCACAACCAGTCTACCACCTGTGGGATGGTGGATCAAACAAGGTTTGGCCCTCGGAAGAGTCCTTTCCTTTTTCAATCTGCACCTTAAACAAAATAAGATTTATTTAAAGTCCTACTGAAACAATCAGACAAAATCATACTTAGCCATAACATCACCATATATCTTTTCAATCCACAGAGCCAGAAAAGGACAATATTCAAATAATTTTAGATCAATTGCAACCTATGAAAAGTATGAACAATTTATATACCTATGTACCGTACGGATTTATTTATATCTGCATCACACTGGAATATATAGATGATTCTCAAAATTGTCCACAGCCCTTTAAAATAACACTTACAAACAAAAAACGACACTAAAACAATGAACTAACTACATAATCATAAGCGGAACAAAGATTTAACACAGAGAAACATACATAGAGTAATAACATAGTAAAACATAGAACAAGAAAGCAGATTCTTAGCTTCTCACAGTCAGCAAGGAAGGAATTGCTGACAAATTTGGGACAGCATTCTTATTTGCAGAAGAAACCCTCTTTCCAAAAGAAGGTTTGCTGAATGCTCTCATTGGACTTGCAAATGCCCATCCCCAGCTTTTGCTCCTTTTATGAGAAAGATTTCTTACACTGGCTGGTGTTGTTGAATTTGATTTGACATTTACATTATCTTCAGTTGAGGATGAAACCCTATACGACGAAGAAGATGTAGATGAGCTGGTGGAGAATCCACTGAAAATCCCACCACACTTAACTCTCTCTTTAATGCAAACTTGCCCATTATTATTTACACCATTTTTATGCATCGATGAGGAAATTTTAGGCTTTCCTTCCCTTTGAGACTCCACTCTGCGAAGTGCACAATCACCAAATCCAGTTGAAATTCTCTCAAAGAAATCCCCTGAAAAACTTCTGCTCCCACAGCCAACAGATCTAGATCTTGATACTTTTCTATCAAGTGCAGCCTGATCGTCAGGGCTTTCATTTTCTTCAACTACGACGAATTCCCTGGTTTTCTTGTCCCTTTTTGATCCTGCAGTGCTTACAGAACTAGCAGTTGCTGATGGAAAGTTTGAATCTTTTGAAGGCCATTCAGATTTCTTGATACTGGAATTAGAATTTCTTGATAAGTAAAGAAATGACCAAAACCCCCATTTATGGGGGCCATATTCTTCAGAAAAATTTTCATCCAAGAAATGTCTACCTGTTTAAAACTAAACTTTCAAGATAAAGTAACAGCAAAATATCTGAGATTCCTAGAATTAAAAATAAATTTGGCTTAAGCTTAAGTTTTAGAGGATGTAATTCGAAGTTACCTCTTCTAGGAGTAGTGGTAGATTTGCTTCTCTTGAAAATAATGGGGGCAGGATCTGAACTTGCCGCCATTGCTGCACTGTCTTTTTTCTTTTTCCTGTGTGTTAAAATAAATGGCAATCTTGATCTCCTAGTGTAGTACCCATTGTAGTTACAGTCATTGCTAGGGGCATTACTGTAACTGACACCACGAGAGGTGGATGAAGAAGACACGTGGCAGCGGACCTGAAGGGATGAGACGGCGGCGGTAGCTTTGGTGGCGCCGACACCACCACCACCACCAAAGTCAGATCTAAAAGACGGAGAAGGAGAAGAGGAAGAAGAGGGGGAAATGGCCAAAGGAAAAGAGGAAGAAACAAGTTTTCCAAGCTTTTCTTGGAGGCAAAATGCACAGATTCCACCTGGGGTGCTGTTCTTGTAGGCATGGTCTGCACATGGCATGTTGCCTTCTCCCACGTCTTCATGCACCACTTCCATCACCATTTTTATTCAAAAACCTCGAAAATTCTTGAATGCCCAGTTGATAAAAATCAATTCTGATAATAGGGTTCTTGATTTTTCCTCTTCCTTTTGGAATTCTGGTGGCATATATCGTAATAAAACTGAAACTATGGCTTCAGATTTCAATAGCTGAAAATGGCTTCACACAAAAACACACAGAGAGAAAGAGAGAGAATCAACAGAGTAATAAATGGGAATGGGTTAGGAGTGAGGTGAAATGGAGAGGGCGTGCGTGATGTGGGAGAGGAGAGTCCCTAAGAGCACGTGGAAACCTGACTGGTTTTATATAAATAATTTGATATACAAACAAGAAAAGCAAATATTTACTTTTAGCTGTTTGATTGATTGATAGATTTTAATAAATGTTAAAATCAATAATAAATTTTAATTTTAAAAATTGACATATTTGTATTCATAAAGGGCAACTGGCACAAAACGTCCCTACATTTCATGTATATTGTGAAAAACGTCCATACCTTTCATTTTTTGGTATTTTTGTCCCTACCTTCCACATTTCTTGGCATTGAACTTCCTTTTCGCTAATTTTGGACAATTTTATCCTCTATTCAAATAAAGCAAAAAGAAAGAAAAGGAAATAACTAATAACTAATTGCAATCACAGCCCCTAATTTTTAAAAAATTAAAAATCAGTCACAAATATATACAAAATTCTCAATGATACGAAGTTTCTCCTTTGGAGTGAATGCACCTTTATTTAGATCTAGTTGGTAGAGCAATTTGTCTGGTTAATTTACTTAAAAAATATTTTATTGTAAAAATATGTGGTTAAAGGTAAGTATGAGAAAAAATGAATTTTGAAAAAATGGTTATCAAACAAGGGCTAATTATTAAAAAAATGATAGAAATTATTTAACTGTTTGACCCCCTTTCTCTTTCAATTTTTTCTTCTCACTCTTAGAGGGTGTTTGTCTATTTGACACTTATTTTTATGGAAAAATAAATTTTAAAATAGTAGATTGATGGAGAATGTATTGATGAAAAATAAGGAAAAGTTTTTGATTTACGTGTAATATTATTTTAATGAGAATATGTGGTTAAAAAAAAGAGAGAAAAATATATTTTGATAAAAATAAGAATCAAATGGGTATTTGTTTTCAGTCGCACAATCAAATGGGTAAATCAAAATTTTTTCTTCTTTTTCAACATTCTCCAACAAAAATACTATTTCAAACATTAAAATTTAAAAGGAAAAGGGTCAAACGGTTAAAACAATGATAGAAATGTAACTTTTATCAATTCATAATTTTAAAAGTTTAAAATTACTTCTGGAATTGCTTTTAATAAATATAAGGAGCTGTGGCTGTTGTAATAGAAATCATCATGTGTTAAATTTTACGTGGAATCAGATCTCCAGATTCCAAAAATTTTCACTCTCTCTTTTCTGTTCATGATACCAAATGTACGCAAAAATTGCAAAGAATCTCTGACTTGCACACAGTGTTTTTTAATCAGTCGTTTCGAATTGGATGGTAGAAAATTCGAATATTACTGCTCTCCTCTGCATATCTCACACTCTACAGAAAATTATACGAATATCTCTCACTACTTCTCTTTATATATGTGATACTTTCAAAAATATTCTCTCAATTTTCAAAAATTACACAAAAAAATTCATTTATTTCAAGTTTTGAATAACATATGCAACCCCTAGTAGTGGCAAACGAGTTTGTCGGCTCCGATCATCAATGGCTCAACTTGGAAAAACTCCGAACAGAAACTCGTTTGTATGAGCCAATGTTTATTATTTTGAAAAAAATCCACCGTTCTCTCTTGAGAATGTTCCAAAATTATCCCTTTTCTTTTTACATGAATTTCGAACCATTTTAACATCGCCAAATTAGACAAAGTAGGTGATAATTTTTAGTTTAAATACGTTTTCTCTTTCTTTTTACAGAAATTTCGAGTGAAGGCATTGTCGTCACTCTATGAGAAGTTGATAGTTTAAAATCAATTTAAATCACTCTCATCTTCCTAAACAACTTATCTTGATTGCTCGAGGATGTATAAATAAAAGGACATTGTAGTCATTTTGCACGACTAAATAACCGCATTTAACATTTTTTTTCCAAGAAATATATACTATTATTTTTTTTGCAAAAAAAAAAGGATAATTATATAACCGCAACACAAATTTTATTTCATGCACCATATTTTAATTAAATTTAAAGTTCTCAATCTTTACTCATTATAACAATTATGTCATTAAAGATTTTTCATAGCATTATTATACTCAAACTTTTCATTTGTTAAAACATTTTATATTTGATAACAATCTATGTTAAAAAATTTGTTGAAATAGTGTATATTTTTTTTATCATACTCTAAAAAAATAAAAAATAAGAAATTTTTTTTTCCTCATTTCATAGCATGAAAACAAAATTCTTGACATAAATCATCATCGATGATGATTTGTACTAATTAAAGAAATGTTGAAAATAAGAATTCGATCAAAAAAATTCAGAAAATACTTGCTACTATGAGCAAAGATTAAAGAGTTTATCCGCAATTAAAATATGGTGTAACAAATAAAATTTATCGCATTAATATAAACACCCAGAAATCAGGAACAAGATCAGTTAAGAAAAATTCCATAATAAAATAAACTACTATAGTAAAGTAGCCTTAACCTTCAAGTTGAAATATTTATGAACTCTGCCCTAAAAAGGTTAATTTAAGTCAATAGTGACTGAAATTTTGAGTAATTACGTCAATAATTTTTTGATGCTAACAATTACTCGAGTTTTTTGATTGGTATAATAATGTTCATTTGGTCAAAAAATTAATATCAATTTCTATGTAACACTATTAAGTGGTGATGTATCACAAAACAATGTTATTTATTATGTGAAGTCCGCAAAATTTTGGAGTTAAGAATTGTTGATTAAAATATACTTAGATAAGAAAAATGTAATGCAGCTTAGTTTTGATCCGATTTTTGGCTTAAATCATATAATAATCGTATTTTCCTTTTTAACAATAAATTTTGCTAACTTGACATAATAGATAACATTGTTTGTTGATAAATTGATACGTAATAGTGTTATATAGGAATTAATTTTTTAATTTTATTTGTCCTAGTGACATTAGTACAACAGTTAGAAGCATGAGTGATTATTAACGTAAGAAAATAACTTCAATGACTATCGACGTTGTAACTCAAAACTTCAGTAACCAGTAATGTAATTAACTCTAAAAAATAAAAAAAAGAAGAAGAAGAAGAAGAGAGAGATAAAAAATAATTCTTCTTAACATCGAAAGTAGAGTAATTTTGCTTGGCTCAATCAATAAGTGATATTTATTGAACTTCATAAAATCACAAATTGTTTTGTTTTTAGTGTTTATTATTCTATTCTATTTAGTTTACTACGTTTCAGTTGTAATATAAAATCAATGTTTCATGTATCATTTTTAAACAAAATAAAATAAAAAATTATTAGTACGAAATTTATTTTTTTGCTCATATTAATGAGTGATGTGGGCAATTATCAGCCATGAGATTCGACAACCTTTGCAGCATGGGGATCTATTATAGAATTTTGTCTTTTCTTGTGATAACACTAATATAAAAGTTACCTCTTGAATTTTCTACTATATTTTCTAATTGTTACCAATTTTACTATACACCTTGGTACGAATCTTGTCATTGTTTTTGTTTCATGACTTCGTTAATGAATCCCAACCCCCAAATAATTTATATATTATATTTGCCTCGTAAAGATCGAATTCTAAAACACGAAGAATTTTTATTTTTATTTTTATTTTTATTTATTTATTTATTTATTTTTGTAATGTCAAATTATCTATCAAACAATAAAAAAGTTTTGACACGAGGCTATTCACTACTTACGACTAGGCACATGCCACGAGACAAATTATGTACTTTTGAGGGGTTTATGTGTTTAATCACATATTTTCCTAAAAAAAATAAAAAAACACTTTTCACAAAATTTATTTTTAAAAAATTAACATCAAACAGGCCCTTGTTATCATTAATCAAGCACGCGAATGCTAGAAATGACAAGTTTAAGCCATAGGGGTGCGTGAGAATCTGACTAAGTTGAAATGCATTAATCAATTCGATTTCACTGTTCTTTAATCTGACAAACACTCATATTTTCAATCGATTAAAATAAATTGGACCAGAGCATACACCTAAAATATATACTCTCTCAATTTTAGTGCACCCAGAAACAAATAATCAATAATAAAAACACGATATGTTCAATTAAACGTTAATGATTTTTTTTTTAATATATACAAGTATTTTATTTCTCAATTTCTTACTCTATTATATAGTTTTCAAGAGTTAGAACTATACGATATAGAATCTACTTTCAAAAATTTAATATATGTAAGAATTTCTTTGAAATTAATTTGATCAACAGAATATCATGTCATATTTGTTATTGAATAACCGGAAAGAGTGTAGTTGATTTGTATCTCGATTTCTAACTATGATGCAATTCATACAATGCAGTTGATTACGATATCGATCTATGAACGATCAACCGACAACCATTCCCTCCATTATAGTGATTTCTACTGAAAATGATTATAGTCGATCAACTCGAGTAGCTATTCTGTTAATTCTTATCCAAATAGAAACCACCGATTTACAAATATCACGAATTATTGAATTTAGTGAGCGGTGCAAAATTTTTCTATGGATTGCATCTTTTGTCATCAAAGTGCCTTTGATACTGGTTCATGTTTGGTTACCCAAATCCCCTGTAGAGGCACCAATGATAGGATGTCATCTTGGTTAGAATTTCTCTAAAATGAACATGTCTTATAGCCCTTGTTTGAGTTCCATTATTGACAAAAAATAAAAATAAAAAAAATTGTATTTTTGAATAATATATTGATGGGAAATGTGAGGTTAAAAAATAAAGAAAAGTTTTGAATTTGCTATAACATTATTTTAATGAAAAATGTGTAGTTGAAATGAGGTCAAATCACTGTTGAAGAATATATTTTGATGAAAATAATGGAGCTCAAACAAGGTCATAGATCCAAATTTGATCAAATTGGACTGAAACGAAATAATTATAACCAACTACTTTAAACCAATTCAATAATCCTTACTTTCACATAGAACCACTAGTTATATGGAAAATCCAAAATCAAAATAAACTTGATTTGTTCTCAAAAAGTGAAACCATGTTTTTTAAACGTAAAATAAAATAAAATAAAATGTAACGAATGGAATAGAATTAATAATATTAAGAAGATCTACAAAAATACGTAACAACTTGATATGAGAAGTGAACCAAAGAGGATGAAAGTAAAATACATTCGGGCCAAAATCGGGCATAATTTTAAGGGCAACTTACAAAAATACTCTTAAAATTATGAATCTTTTGAAAAATCATACGAAAAAATATTTGGAAGTAAAAAATACTGTATAATATTAAAAAGTGGCACAATGTTACTTTTTTTATAAAAAATTGTCACTTTTTAATTTAAAAAAGTGACACAATGGCACTTTTAAAAATTATATGTCACTTTTTATTAAAAATGACATATAATGTCGTATTTATTAAAAAGTTATGTTTGTCATTACAAAATGATAGAAATTAAGAAAGTAATAAACACTAAAAAAAAGTGACAAAATACTAAAAAAAGTGATTGACGAATTCAAACAATTAAAAAAAAAAAACTACATGTATTAAAAAATGTGACGGAATAAAAAGTGACAAACACTCGAAATTGACAATTTAAAAAAAGTGACAAAAATTGAAAAAAAGTTATACAAATTCAAAAAAATGTTGACAAAAAAAAAAGTGACAAACATTAAAAAAAAAGTGACAGTAATTAAAAAGGAAAAAAAAAAGTGACAAAACACTCAGTCAACCACCCATACAACGTCATCTCTACCTACAGATTCACCAACTTTCAACTCAACCAATCAGCCACCTCAAGTCCAACCACCACAAGCACCGCCATAGCTTAACACAGTGCAGTTCCTCTCCTCTCCTCCTCTTTCTCTCCCTCTCTCTAGCTTAATAGAATGGGCAATGGCTGGCCCGAATCAATTGAGCCTGAAGCTTCATCAAGAAGAACCCAGGTGGAAAATGAAACCATTTCTAATCCCAAAAAATCCAAGCTCAAATTATGGCAGGCCCAAATCAATTGAGCCTGAAGCTTCATCAAGAAGAATTCAACTGGAAAATGAACCCACTTCAAATCCCAAAAAATCCAAGCTCAAATTCCAGTAAATCATTGAGGCCACTCTCCCTAAAGCTTCATCAAGAAGAATCCAACTGGAAAATGAACCCACTTCAAATCCCAAAAAATCCAAGCTCAAATTCCAGTTAATCATTGCGGCCACTCTCAAAGTCGCCTTTGCAGTTTCTACTGCACTTATAATGGGGCTCTAGCCAGAGCAAATTCCGGGTCAATGCACCCGAGCCAAGCCATGTCCAAGACCTATAGCCGGACTCGCTATCCCGCTATGTGTCAACTCACTCATGAACTTCCTCGTATTCAATAGATTACAACTCAACCAATTGGCCATCTCAAGTCCCACCACACGACCTCCACCAAATCCAGTAGCAAGTCCATCCTAACCACCAGCATTGTCATCTCCACCATGGGCACTTCCATCGGCTGTACCTCCACCACCAGCGTTTTCATCGCCAACACTTCCACTAACAATGGGAGTATTTTGGAATCGAGGGTTTTGATTTGGGGCCATGGGAGTCTTGAGTGTATTTAATACGTGATTAAATGTTTCAATTAGTTTTAAGAGTACTTTTCAAAATTCTCATTTTTAGGGGGTATTTGGCCTAATTTTCCCTAATTTTAATGAGCCTAGGCCCAATGGCATTTCAATCTACGGCCTATTATTTTGTAAAATGGACCCATCGAAGAATTCTTTGGCATGAGTAGTCAAGTCTATCCTCAGCATGCCTTACCGGAGTGTTTGAGAGTGATTTTTCACTTCCAAAAAATTGATTTTTTTTATCGTTATTTTACTATTTTAACCGTAATTTTTTATTTCTTTTCTCACAGGTGATCCCTACTTTTCTCCTAACGGTCAAAAAATCAATTCTCAAAATCCCTACCGAATAGGGCCTTAATACTGGGGGGAGGGGGGTTACTTAGAACCTTGCAATTAACGATTAGTTTTCATGAGGGGGTTGAGTTTAAATTCAGATTCGAGGCGGTGAATAGAATTGTTAATTGTAATTAATAAAAATGAATTAAACATAATTTACATATTCACCCCCACCAACCCTGCCTCGCCCCAATCCATCTCAAACTTGATTCAAAGCTTAAAATTTCTTAGTCTCTTCCTTCTTTGTATCTTCTTTCTCTCTTTACCACGTCACCCTACCCTACCTTACCCTACCCCTCACTCTGTACTATCTCTTTTGGTGTCGCTACTGCTGCGAGCAATGACGCTTTACTTCACAGTCGTCGCTACTATGGTGGTGCTTGCAAAAATCCAGGTAATAGTGCTTACAACAACAGTAAGTCCAAGGTAGTAGATAGTGGCGGTATTAATAGCGATGGTGAGATTATTGTTGTAATAGCGGTGGTGGTCATTGTCTCATTGAGAATTTCGACATTTCTTGTTAGGAATCTACTTAATCATGCATAGCAGAAATAAAAACGAATTTCAATTCCCACTAAGGATCCCTATTTGTTTATATAGAAAATTGTACCTTTGAAAAATTCCGCAAACCTTTTGCTTTTCTTTTTGTTCCAGTAATTTCGGTTTGTCACCCACAACTGTCCAAGTGTCTAGATTCCAACGGTGATCCACACAAAGAACAAGATTGCAGCATTAGGGTTTTCTTCTTGTACTAGCAAGAAGAATAAATTTTCTTTACAGATCCAAAACTTTTGCTACCTATTTATCCAAACCCAAACGGTCTTGGCCCATCATCTAACCTGGTCCAAGATTTAATTAACCCTTTTAATTAAATATGGTCCATGAATTAATTAATCCAATTAATTAATCCAGGCTAATAAATAAGTAACCCAATTAATTAATTTATCCAATGCTTGTTCAATTAATTAATTGGTAAAACACAATATTCCCGTTCTCCTTTTGTGTGTGACTCATCATGTTCCCAATCATGATGCCTAGAGATATGAATTACTATTTTGATCTAATCAAAATTGATAAATTAAAACACCCTTTTAATTTATCACCTACTCACGTTCATCATCTCAGATTGAGATCTAACAATGTGTCAGGGCAATACATGTAAGGAGAAATGTCATGTGATATGACAAAATCAAACTCTTTCGTTTACCATGGTCGTGAAACTATAATCTCTTCGTCAATATGATCCGATTAATTATGAGTTATGGAAGTGTGTCAATCTCGATTATCGATCATACCTTTTATTCCACTATTAAGTCAATATAAGTTGAAAACTCTTTTTCGACTTATGAGTACACCTTGACCAATGATTTCTTTATCAATTTAATTGAATAAAATGCAGATAATAATTTTTTACTATCTAAGAGTGACGAATCTTCTATTGGTTATTCACAAAGTTCATATGATTCTTGATATACTCGAACGATATCATATTAGCGGCTCTTGGCAGAGTAACATTCAATTCCATCAAAGCATAACTGTCCTCATATAAGGTACTATGAGACCTCAAGTTAAAGGATTAATTCCACTACCGAACATTAGAGATTAACCACTGATACTTAGATAATTATTCATATAGAATCTCTTGACGAGTCTTCAATGTTTTGTTCTATGAAAAAACATCCACGTGTTAATTCAAGTGTTACTACACTTTAACTTGTGAGATCAGCTACTTACTTCACAAGTAGGAAATGCCACACGTGATAGTTTATCTGTAATAACGATATCCGTATCTCGTCATTATATACGACTACGGATAATTTAAGATTCAATCATATGTATTTGTATCTCATAACCACAACTCCTTGTGATTAACAAATTACTAAGATTTGAATCTACGGACTCCATTATTTAATTCGATCGAATATTAATTAATTAAATAATAGATCTTTCATAAATTGCATCAACTATATATTAAAAACGTTTATGTCCAAAGTTAATTGGATTTAGGGCATAACACTTACATTCCTCTCTATCAAATTCACCAGGTTAATGCCAAAAGCTCAGAATTCCACAAATCTTCCTATTCAAACTTAATTTTGAACATTTGATCCAAAGAGTGATTTTTCAGTTGCCTCAGATTTTCCTTATTCATCTTCATTTCTTGTTTCTTGTGGTTTATATACCATAAAGTTCCCTTCCATATATAGACGTGTTTAATTATACTCATGTGAATTAAACTTCGATATTTTATCATCACATAGCAACCATTTCATCACCACCACATATTCTGAACAACAATATATTCATTTGGGATTCCTCTGCTTCAAGAAATTGATCGAGATAAGTTTGTATAGCTTGAAATATTTGGGCTTAATGGATGATTTGGTAGCTTGTCGTTTGGACTTGAGCAATAATTGATCCATTCTATGGAATTCTCCTGCGCTGATGAACGTAAAGTAGCTGAAGGTATCGATGATCAGAACACAAAGAAGCAAAGAATTATTCATTAAGATGAAAATTCAGCCCAGGTGAATTTATCTTGATCTCAACATTTTATCAAACAAGTTTTGTCTATATATGGTACTTTATGATGAATTCTCAATTTCGCTAAATGTAATTATGCTACCATTAGGTTGTGGCTGGAAATGAGCTAAGAAAGGCCGAGAACCTTTTTTTAGCTTATTCAGATCTTCATGAATCTTAAGCTAGCTTCGTGTCAGCACATTATTAAAGTTAAATCATTATGAAAATCATAATTCATTCACCATATATATAGTGATATATATTTATTTATTTAATATAGTTGAAATTCTTTGTGCTAGTGACTTCATCATGCATGAGTAATATTCTTGTCCAACTCTATTTTTCTCCTCATTCTCAATCTGTTAGTGAATCCTTAATTTGGTATTTGAAAATAGGGAAATGTCACTTTGACAGAAGAAAACGTCCGGAAGCAATGCCAGAAAGGTATGTGGCATGAAATGATCGGATGGAAGAGATGATTGTGTTTAAATTGTCTAATGATAAAATATCACGTGACATTATGTAAAAATCTATTTCAATTATGGTGTACATGTAGCATGATCCTTAAAAATATAAGCTTGAACGTTAGACTAACTCTGTGACATCTGGTGCAAACTTGATAAATTATATTTTCTCAATATCACACAGAGAAAATCATAAGTAAAAACTTGGGAAATTGTTGAATGCGCTTTATATTTCTTTGTGCAAATGCCAGAGGTAAATTTTGTGGTCAGAAATCTGCAGTCACGATTTAACCGTAGAGAGATGAAAATGCTGACATGTAATTCTCTTTTCCTCCTTCCCTTGTTAGAAAATGAAGTAAAAAATAAACTCTTTATCCTATGAACAATGGTTCCTTTAGGTCAGTGTATTGCTGTGCTTTGTTACCTTTAACATTATTGTCATTTTCTCAGATTCTCTCTGATATAACAGCTATGATTGGCGAAAAGTTGCCCGAAGAAAGGAAGAATCTTGTTGCAATATGGGCTGATCCATTTGTGCAAAAACAATGATGTGTCAATTTCAAGGTTGCTAGAAGCTTGGTCTCTCTCTGTTCTTTAAGCTTGCCTCCTAATGACCTACTGGTTGCCAAAGAAATGGCAGCAGAACTTTCAAAAGTGACCGGATCAGATGACAGAGATCGGTTAGAGAAATCTGAAACCTCCCGCATCATAAACAAATCAACAGGTGATGCAATAGCTTCTATCCTACTGCAGTCAGTCGAATCTGTTGATAATAATATAGGGAAATCTGAATACGTTAATGAACTCCAAGGCACGAAAAAACGTTATCTTTTAAGAGATATTTCTCTCCTATTCAACAAAGTCACAATTGGGGTATTATAGAAAATCTCTCTCAGGATACAATGAAGGCGTTTGATTCAAATTGTGACTATTTGATCAAACCAAGAAGACACTCGAAAATGACTAATTGATGCCAAGAGAAAGAAGGAAGAATAAACTGTTTAATGTGTTTGCAAATTAGAATTCGCCCAGAATTTATAGACACTGAGGCAAATACTAATCCGGGCAGCAAATCATTCGCAAAACAAAATATTAAACACATACAAAATGATGAAAAATATCTAACAGAATCAACCATCGTTGACATGGATTGGCTTATAAAAAAACTAAATACATACTGCACAGCTATTCGAAAAGGCATTCCTCTTCATCAAACGGGTATATTTGCTTCTGGATCAGTATTGGAAGAGATTTTACTCAAGAGCGAAAGCCCCATTAAGTCTAATATATATATATTATTATTATTATTATTATTTTATTATCATCATTATTATTTTTTGGTGGCAATGAACCTCAATGGTAAGTGGGTGCTAAAACGTGTAAATTTGCTATTCATCACGTATATTTCTCTTTTGTAATAATTTAGCCCTTCAAAATTGCAGATCATCGAGCAGAGTAATTGCTGAGAATTTTTGCCAAGTTTTTCAAGAACCTGGCTCGAATATCAAAGCTGTTTATTGCTCCTAAAGGCTGCAACCTGCAAGCAACTTTTACCAAGCCTCAAGTAACGGGAACTCGTGGAAATAACTTGTATGCAGTTAACTGTCCCAATTTGTAATCTTGCGCACGATGCAATAGGTATTTCTCATGTTACTTGCTGCTTTTATTCATGGTAAGTTTAAGATTTCATGGAATGTATTTAATTCTTGGACTTGTCATTGCTGATCTGCAGAACCAAGAGAGCAATAAAACTAGAGGACTTGTTAGTACAATCAAAAGAGAAAATGGATGCATCCCGGACTTGATCTTCCAAATAGAAGACCATGAGAAATATCTCATCCAACTGAGCAAGATCACCAAAAAAAATTTGTTGAGACATGCCAAATGTAGCACATCTCGAGAATTTCAAAATTGTAGTGCCTAGTGAAGATCCATTGGAAGACGAAAAACCGAACCAAAAATCACAAAACAATAATTCCGATATTGCTGAAAGTGAATCGTCCAAAGAATATGGTAACGAAGGAACAGAAGAAATTGAAAACTTTATGGTGCCCGAGTCTAGTCCTGTGGGGGCAGATTATGAAGTTCCTAACGCAAAAAGAGGAATTTGGGCATCAATGTGCACGAATCCTTGGTTTAAGAAGCATAACAATCATCATTAGTTATATTTGGGCATCAATGTGCACGAATCCTTGGTTTGAGAAGCATAACAATCATCATTAGTTATACTCTTATCAAATACAAATAAAATATGAATCAATGCTTTCTATATATGTTGCACAGACGCTTCAACTAGAGTTGTGTATTTAACACGTGTTCGAAATGTGTCAGATACCGAATGTGTACTTATATTGAAAAGAATTCAACAAGAAAAATTAATTAACAAATATGTACCGATGATACAGACACTCATTGAATACTTTACATTGATCGTCTTTCTTTCTTTATCAAAATACTTTTTATTTTTAACTAAAAGTCCTTATTAAATAACAAATACGTACTTATATTTAGCCCTTATTTGTCAACTATTGTTCCACAGTTTACCACATTATTTTTTCTACAGTACTTATTTTCAACTACACATTTTCTATTAAAATAATATTACACATATATAAAAAATATTTTCTTCTTTTTTAACAACACATTTCAACATCAATCACTATTTCATACTCCAATTTTTGAAATTAAAGGGCCACAAACAGGGCCTTAAAAGATTTCAATAAGAAAAATTAATAATAAGTATAAAAAACTTTAAATAATTTAATCAACGCATTGATTGCGTTTCGTGTTAGTTTGTGTCAAACATATATATCCATGTCAGTGAGATATAAGTTGCAATAGTTGTGAAACTTTAGAACCAAAATTTATGATAAAATCTCATCATAAGCTTAAACAATTTACTCATAAAAAATAAGCTAATTATAATAATAATAAAAAAAAAAATCATTAGTCAACACGACCTTATCCAAGCACGCTAATAATCTGCAACACTCGTTATTGTTAGTGGCAAAAGCTCAGGCGGATGCTGACTAAGAAGATAAATTGTGATAACAAAAATGGTGAAATAAGTTACAATGGTCAAAATCAAAATTTTAGCCAGAGTTTGTTATCCTTTAAAAAATTTAATTATTTGTTACAGTATCATTTTTCATTACACATCACACAATAAAAATATTCTACAAAAAAATTAAATTTCTTTATTTTTTAAGTACGCATTCTCTTAAAGATATTATTCAATAACTTATTATTTCCAAATAAATTTTATCAAACAGACGTATCAACTTAGGAATAAAAGAAAAAAAAAAATACAATAAAATAATAATAATGTAGCTAGGCGGTGGATTGATTCCTCTTTGCTTTGGGTGGTGTTTTATACCAATCCAATTTTGGATCTCACTCCATTTTGCACCACTCCACACACAGAGAGAGAGAGAGAGAGAGAGAGAGAGGACGAGAGAAAACGAAGGGAGGAGGAGGAAAAGAGAAGACAAGAAGCAACAGAAAATTTCAATAGTAAAAGGGAGAAGACTGCAGCCCTTCAACCGCGTTAGTCCTGATTTCGTTTGCCACAACAGGTAAGAGGAACAATAAGTTTCTTCAATTTTATTTGCTCAACTTGTAGCATAAAGTAAGTCAAAAGAAATCGAAGGGTATAACAGAAAAAGTGGATAGGCAGCCTATGTATGGAATTGCTGGCGGTGAAATCATAATTGGAGATAGAAGAGGATTTATTGAAGGCATGTATACGAGGATGAGAAAATTATGGTTGTAACCATTGTTATGTCTAATTATGGGTCATAATAAGGCAAGAAAAGAAAATGATAATTGCCAAAAGGACATAATTTTAGTTGATTCATTATTCTACTTTGGGTTCTTTTACTTCTGCAGAGATGTCCACTTGATGAAGAATTGAAAATTGTATAGGATATTAAAGTAAAAAGGTGTTGGTTCTTGCTTCTTACAACCGAATTGGAAAGGAAAAAAATGGTCCCTATCATTTTATTATCAATTTGGAACAAAAATGGGCAATTATATATACATAGGCAGATGGATATATGTGCAACAATGGTCGAAATCTAACTAGTAAATTAGAATAGATTACTAAGGAAAGTGATATTGGTATCTTACCATTTGTATAATTATTTTTTAATTAGATTGAATTGAATTGAGCTTTGACTCAGACAGTTCTATTATTATCACAGGAGGCAATATCTACATGAGGACAGCATATCAACCGTTTATAGTTCAGTGAGTGGAAAAATTTAAATATTATTATATGTCGATAAAATAATTATATTATTACACTATGTGCAATTACGTGAATTAATTGTTCAATTACACGATTATTATGAAAGTTTCTCTCACAATGATCTATGGAATTTGAAAGATTGTGTATGGATTATTTGTGAATTGAATTGTGAGACATATGTGGTATTGAGATCAATCAGAAAAGTACATGTGATTCTGTACTTCTTCTAGTTCATTGAGACGCTTTGTCCGTGTTCTATATTACACTGAGAGGTCTTTACCTTGTACATATAGTTCACAAAGGGGTTGTGTTTTATAATTGATTATAAAAGGTCTTTAAGGCCCGCTTCTATTCATCGAGGGGGATTGAGGCCCGTGTCAGGAGTGTTTAGCCCAGGGACAGTCTACCGTGTATGATCAGATTATAGATTTCAGTTAGAGGGTACGTTTTTGGTGAATTTTTCAATACATTTAATGTGATGAGATTATAATATGGATATCGGCTAATGGTTATATCATGAGTATGAGATAATATTTTATAGCATTATGAGGATGTCTCACATCTTGATTATTATTATCATATGTTGTTATAATGTAAGCTTTTAAATGACATCAACTCCATTTTCAATAAAAATGTATAAATGAGAAAGTATAATTATTTTTGATTTTCTCCGCTCACTGAGTTATCAACTCATATATTTTCCCATGATTTTTACTACGTGTAGCAATTGGTTCTATATAGTTGGACGAGCCTGATGATTTCATAGTGATCGCCACACGATGATTCATTTTGATAAAGCACGAAGTAATTATTTTTGGCCTATTGCATTTTTTCATAAGATCTTATGTGGTGCATATTTAGTAGTAACTCAAAGTCAACCTTGATGGTGGAACTGATAACTAGTCAACATTCATCATCAGCATATTTCACATTTCGGGTTCACTAGGATGATTGGGCATAGGTCGTTTATTAATTAATTTATGTCAATTATTCTACATTCAAAATATTATATTTGTAGAGTCAACTTCCTAGCCCGCAGAGCCACAAGCACTTGCGTGATAACAAAGCCCTTGCAGTCCTTTCAGGTTCGGGCAATCGAGGAAATTGTAGAAGTTTTTCTGAATTCTGATTAATTATCTCGTAAAGGTGCCTTTATGGTGTAATTTGAAATTTTTAATTTGTTTGCAGAAATACTATTGTTATCCTGGTTTTGAATATGTACTAAACATGGATGTTAAAAAGGATTTGCAAGTTATGGATCGGAGAAAGCAAAAAACATTAACACAAAAATGGAGAGCAATGTCTACTCAGTCAAATTCTTCCGAGGGTACTTTTTTATGTCTCTGCAATGTTTTAATTTGCAACTGATCACACACATGCACTAGTGTTTATGAACCCTTTGGGTGAATGTGCATGAATTTATATGTTTGTCTAACCTTAGAAAGTTTACTTACCAGTTTTGTTAATAGAAAATAAATTTTTACATATTGGTCGAAGTTGGAAATCATTAAAAGCATTTTTTGGAAGTGTTAATAAATGGTTTTGTTTGTATATAGATAGAAATGAGTGTGGATAACTGGGTAGTACTAATGGGTGTAGATGAAAAGTGACTTGAATGTTTATGAACAGTTTATAACAATGAGCCAAACATAGGCTAAGTTTCTCTGGATTAGGGTAACTTTTTTAAATGAAGGGTAAGTTATTCAAATATGTTTGGATGTAACTTTATTTTTAAGCTTAGCAAAACATTCTTACCAGTGTGAAGTATAATTTTACTATTTATTGATTATTAGTTTTAACTACGCGGAAATAGAAGAAATAACATAATATGATCACATAGGGATCCAAGCGCGTGGGCAAGGTCAGGGGAAGGTGAAGGTGGTATTCAGGATGTGTATTTGTATGTGAAGGGTGCTGGTAGATGATGAAGAAGTAAGGATTGTTTAGTTTCAATTTCTGGTTGTATTCTCTTTCCTAAATTATTCCTCAAAAAATGGATATGCAATTGTTTACCCATTCTTGAACATGTTTGTAGAATAAAACATGTAATGGTGCCCCAAAAAGAAAACTTGGAGTATTTTTTGTTTTTTGTTGTTCACGATCAAATATTCTGTAACAAAATCTCCAAAAGATTGGAAAATAGGACATTCATGATTCAACAGCAGTTATGTATTCTATGAATTCCAGCATATGGATCTACATCATTTAATCACCAGAACACTTTGCAAAAAATTTAGCAGTTAATATTTCTTACTCTGACAAACTCTTGAAGTGGCCTAAGCTGAGAGATCAGCTGGTTGTAATTTCTTATCTCATTGCAATTTGTTATGTATGGTTTGGACACCAATCAGATAATGAGTAAGGACCATTGCACATCAATTTCTTGTGATACGGACTTTCGGAATATTTGTTGAAGTATGTGAAACTTGATATAAAAGTTTCACCTCTTTCAGGAGGCGGGGGAAAGCAGGAAGTACAAATCCGAGCGGAAGAAGTGCATAGTTCCATGTTCTCGACTCTTTTAACAGCTAGATGTGAAAATCCTGACCTTGAAGTTATGAATGAACCGGTTGACCCAAATACATGTTCTAAAGTAGAAGATAGTGACAAAGACACATATTTAGAAGGAGAATTAGCGCCTCATCAGAAGCATTCAATATCAATGGAGGTGAGTTTCAATATTGTGTCTAATTTTCATTTTTTTCCCTGTATATTTTGTTCTAAATTGACTTGGACTGATAAATTTTGTTTTCCTAATTCTATCTTAGCTTGTGTACAAACTTTTGAGCTTACAGTTTCTTTTTCTACACTATGAAGTCAAGTGATTATAATCTTATTCTCAACTCAACAAAGCCCTATTCAAACTTATCGTGGTGTCTTCTACAGTTATATGTATTTTATTTTTCCAGTAAGCTCTATGATGTGCCATCTGCAAATTTAAATAATGAAGGTTAAATCATGTAATTAGTTCATGCCATGTGATTATAGGTTGAACTTTTCCTTTTAAGGTTATTCTTTATATTTGTGTACTTGTTCGTTTTTGTGAACTTGTGCATTGGAATTGGCTCCTATATCAATTTATCTTCAGTTAGCACCACTTTAACCTGAACACTTTTGTATTGCTTTGCTAATATGCCTCTCATTTTACCAATAATCCAGCTCGATAGTCTAATCCCTAACAAAATTAACTTACATAATGCCATTCAATATTTCATTATATTTAACCCATCCAACCTTAATCACTTAAGCGACATTACCCTCCTGGTGATTAATCAATTTTATGCACCCAGCAACATTTATATTTTGGTATTTCATGATCTTTAGTATCTACATCTTTTTGTATGTTCTTTCACATTAAGCAAAATTTTAACATTTTGCACTCAGTCTTACTCCTGACAATTCAAAGAGGAAATTTTTAAGGACCTTATAGATTTTTTTTAATTGGAGCCTTCTTTCTTTCATCAATTTTTCATAATCTGAAAACTTCCTTCTGTTTAAAGACAGAATTTCTCATTCCTCATTTTCCAGGTTTTTACCCAAAACATATCGGGAAGCAATAATGTCTCTCTTAGGCTCATGAGTTGGGTCACTCGATTGATGGTGGTCGAATTCCATATAAATTTTAGCCTTCCTTTAGTGGACGCCACTTGTTTTTCTGATGAAATGGTTAAAACCTGACGTACAAAACATTTGATCATCTATCATAATTGGAGCAATTTGGAGGGGATTTAATGAAAGAAATGAATTTGTAGAGTTTTACATGAGTTTTTGAGTGGGTACGAATATAGAGAGAAAGAAGTATACATGCACAAATTTCACATCAACTCATCCAACTTGGCCAAATAGAGCCCCATGCTTACTCTCCAAACTCAACCAGTGACGAGAGTTGGTCAAGTTGGCCTGCCATGCCACTTTTACTGGAAAAATTTAGTAAGAGTGAAATAGTCATTTAATATATTTTTAAGTTAGAAGAATACTATTTGATAAAAAATTTAAAAAATAGCTATTCTTTGTCCTGGCCTTCAAAATAGGCTTTTTAGAAAAAATCATCTAGTTAAATTATGCTCAGTTTTATGCAACTTGTTCTGTTTCTTTATGTTTTAAGATGCTCCCTGCACTCCCCTTCCTTTTAGGCATGCCCATGAATATATGAAGTTGGTATGCTCATGAATACCAACTAGCTTAGTAATGAATGAATAGAAATGTTATATTTGTAGATTGAAGACCAAAAGGCAAAAATAAATGTGATTGGTGCCAAAACAAAAAGTCAAAAGTAGAAATACACTAGGGAATGCAACGTGTTCTTGAGAGAGAACTACTCATATGCTAATAAGTTAGATGAATATACTTCTTTATAGCATATGCTAATAAGGGATGAATGCACTTCATAACGGAATCTGGACCTTTTTTTTTTTTTTTTCCCTTTTTTCCCCATGGCGATTTAGATTAGAACAGTAAGGAGACTAGGACTTCAAAAAACTAAAGAAAGTGTGGAATCTCCTCTGGTTGCAGTAACATTGACCACTTTTAAGACATTATCGTCCTTCCTAGTTAGACATAAAGGTTTTATTAGAGGTTTTTTTGTTTATTTAGTTTCCAAAATAAAATCTTGACAAATCACGTAATGATTTTAGGGATTTCATTCCAATTGTACATATTTTGTTTCTTTTTTTATAGATCTCTGTAATACTATGAAAGGATGTAATACATACGTGAAAATTATTCAGCAAACAATTGTCAAGTTTGCCTCTACATAACAATAATTGCCTCAATTTGTTTCCTTGAAAGACCAAGAGGATCATTATTGATATAGGATTTATCATTATTGGTTCCAATGTTGACTAAATCATAAAAAGTGCGCAACTCAAAAGACTAGAAATATCGTAAAATAGACCTATGGTTATTTGGATAGTGACCATTTAGAAATTTTGCCGAAGTAACTTATTCTTTGAGCAGGCACTCTTTGTTCAACCCTAGAAGGGTCCAACATTTTCTGCATGTGGTCCTTTTGCTCTGAGAACGCCATTACGTAGTATCTATACATATTTTTTCACCCATAAAGTAATATTCAAGAACTGATTTCAAATAAGAAAAGGTAGGTAGAGAACTAAAGTTGCAAGTCTACCTCCTTAAAACAAACAATTAAGAACTTTAAAATGCCTTTGATATGCCTTACCAACTCTAAACCCCATAAGTCTCTCCTGCATTATTTTTCATATAATCACAGCCCCTTCGTAAATACTCATGATAAAAACCCTTCATAATACATGTCTAGGTACCATGTCACAAGCATTGTCTAGATCCACGAAACCGATCGTCCTTATTGGAAGACATTACTGTCATATGTTAAATCACATTATGGAATACAATATAATGACATTTTTCTTTAGAGGTGGCTTCGAGGCAACATTATGCTTATTATAAAATATAGAGCCTAATATCCAAGTTAGAGTAGTTGGCTTATTTCCTTCCTTGGCTATTATTGTAGGATGTTATTGGCTTTTCTTTCATGTGTCTCCATATTGATTTCTTTACTTATTTAACATATTTGGAAAACCTATGCATGTTGTTTGTAATATGAATCACTTTTAGAGAAGGTGTGCACTTTAAGTAGTGGGATGGCATGCGAAGAGAGCATGGATGCACTATGAAAGAATCAACTTTTTAGTTATCTTCATTCTTGTGTGTATCAACTCTGAATTCGTCATCTCTTTACAGTATTTATCATACTTGTTCTTAATATCAGTTATTTCATAAATCGTTATGGACTCAAAATACTCATTTAGTTTTATAATTTACAAACTATAGAGATGCAGAACCTAAAAGGAAAAGAAATAGGAATGACTAGTTTTAGAATCGAGTTGGACCAAAATAAAGGTTTTATTCCTTTTAGCATTTTGTACGATACTTTTTATCTTCTCATTTGAGATATTGTGTGCAATTAATAAGTCTACTACTAAATCTAATAAGTAATGGAAGTCAAACTCTTGGTCATTGTTTGTTCCATAATACTATAAATAGAAAAAGAAAAGAAATTATCATTTTCATTTTCATTTCTACATCTGTCACTCTTTATCTTTTTAGTGCCGTCTATAATGATAATGATAGGTGAATAAAAAATTGCCTATGACGGACACGTGTCTCTGACATAATACATGTCAGATACGTCGATATGCGATTTTCAAGAAAGTACCGACATGACACGTCATAAATACGTTGATTAATTCTTTAAAGTTCTTCATTTATATTATATAAATTTAGTTTTATACTTGTTATTAATATTTCATGTTGAAATCTTTTAAATATAAATACCTATTTGTTATTTATTAATAATTTTCAATAAAAATATATAATATTTTAATAAAAAAAGAAAAATAATCATGGTAGAGTGTTTTGAGGAGTATTAGCATCCGACACATGTCAGACATGGACACGCTATCCTAATTGAAGTGTTCGTGCTACAACGAAAACTGCCAATTGTATTCTTTTGAATTACTTGTAAGGAGTAAGGAGTGGGAGGTTCTTTAACTTCACTTTGAAGCGAGTCATGTACTTTCTGATGCATATATTTTGTTTGACTGGAAATCAAAAAATCTTCCATTTCTTTCAGATTACTCTTATAAATTTTACTGTTATATGAGTAAGTGTTAATTTTTAAATCTAGATCTTTAAAAAGACAATATTTAAATTAGAAATTTCCTTTTTACTAAATAGTGGATCTCCTATTTATTTTTGGCACATGCCTTTCCCCCAATTGCAACTAATTTTATCCTATCCCTTGAATCACAACTAATTTTATCGTATCTTGTGCATGTTTTGTAGGTAGGGGCATCAGTAATGCGTTTCATCAAAGGGAGAGAGTATGACCATGACATGTACTGTTGTGTAGATGGAAACTGGTAATTTATCTAATATGTCTTTACATATATTTTCAACAGGGGTGCCACTCAAAGAGAGATTGAAAGGGAGATGGGAGTTAACATTATATTTCCATCATCTAAAGAGGATGATTTTGTCAGTAAGTCTCTTGCTTTTGGTCAAAATATATATAGTTTTGCGTTAAGATTGTCATTTTCAAGAAGAAAAAATGAGTTGATAATGGTGATGCATTCTTCATAATATTCTTGGTTTATTTTGATGTAAAAAATTCTTACATATTTTGTTATATTCTAAAATAAATTAAATCTATATTGCTATAATTAATGCTGATAATGGACCTTGATGTTGTAAGTCCTTTTTAATAATATTCACCAAGTCTCCTAACCCCTAATACCTCCTTTTAACTCTTTCCTTTCTTCTTGCTTGTAGATGCATAACAAAATATGTACCATCATACAATAGGAATCTATGCTTGAGCGTAGACAACTCTTTGCCATTGTTCTTTCTAGACACATTGACATGAAAATTGATTTTTACTAAATCCTGAGATGCAACACAGATTTCTTGTGAAAAACTGTCTTAGAAAGTGTATTCATTCTTGCATTCAACACCTCCCTTTACTAATTTCCTACTGTCCTTGGCTTTTCGTCACCTCTCTTTCTACTTTCCATGTTATTATATTCCTATGCGTTCCCGTGTGTTTTGAATTCTCACTTACATCAAGCCTGCTCATTGGTTTATAGATTTAAGATACAATGTCAATTGCTTCAATTAGCATGTATGAACACTATGTTTGTTCTTGCAGTCATTGAGGGCAACTCCGCTGAAAGTGTTAACAAAGCATCAGAGAAAATACAAATCATTATTGACAAGGTTGTAGCAGTTATTTGAGTTGTGTTAATTCTATTTAAATATAAATCTCCGTAGTGTTCTCATCTACTTCTTTTCAAAAATTCAAGATGTTCCTCAAGAAACCCCTGTTAATATCCATCTTACGAAATTACAAAGATGATTGATGGTTGCGTTTCTTGTGTTTGCTTGTATGTGGTGTAATTTTTTTCATGGTTTTACTCTTGTTGTCCAAAGCCAACTACATTGCTTGTATGTGGTGTAATTTTTTTCATGGTTTTACTCTTGTTGTCCAAAGCCAACTACAAAAATGGACTGTCAAGCTATGGAATTTTTTTCTTCATTCATTAATATATTAATTTTTTGGGGGAATAAGTTATATGATTGTTAACTTTATTTGATGGTATATTTTTCTAGAGCTTGGCAATCTTTCGTTTGCCAAGTAAAAATAATAATAAATTTTTTTTCTCATCTATTGATACATTAAAGTTTTTTTAGAATACCTTCTAGGATTGTTGTTGACCTCAATTTTTGCATGGATATTGTGGCCAATAAATCCTTGCTCCACTCACATCTACGTGGCTCTTACCCTATACACTTGGAAAAATCGTTATGGACACTTGGCCTTCTTCAGAGGTAGAGGAGGTTGCATGCACTTGTAAGTTCAAGTTAGTCTGCTTGTAAAGATGTATTTAGGTATGGGACATGCTATAGACGTGAGCCACAAAGGTGTTTGGACACAAGGGGTTAGGATAGTACCAATTTAGAGAGTAAAGCTAGAGTGGTTGAGAGTGTAAAATTGCATTACCTTCAAATGGCATTAAGTGTGAGATTTTATAGTAGGAGAGAAAAAATGATAACCTCCGGATGAAAAGACGTGGTCTCATTTTAACTGTCGAGACGCCTTGTCATAGGTGTCGTTCCATTAGTCCTAAGGTCAAGGACATTTAGTATTTTAGACACTTGGCCACTGTACGACCTATTTTTGGCATATAAGAGTAAAATGATAAATTGACTTGGCAGAGTGGCTGTTGTAGAGAAGTCAGACTAATAAATCATAGAAGTTCTGTACGAAAGATCTTATGGGGAATGTGCCTTGTATATCTAGAGGTTGTTTACCTTGGGACTACAGCACATCGCATTTCCTCACCTCATCCATAAGGGTTCAACCTTTGCATGGGAGTTCGACAAATGCATCACTTCAACTACTAAAGGGCCTATAGGAAGTGATCTTATTATGGGGATGTCATGTGACCGTCATTCCTAAGGGTTAGGGACATTTAGGGTGCGGTTGGTTTTCATTTTCATTTTCAAAACGATTTTTAGTTTTTCTCGAAAACGGTTCATTTTCCGTGTTTTGAGCGTTTTCGACATTTATAACTGAAAACGCTGAAGACGCTAAAAAGTCGTTTTGCATTTTCAGTTATAAATTTTAACTTGTTTTCGAAAATGCGTTTTCAAAAACGATGGACCAAACGTGTTTTCCGTGTTTTCGAAAACAAAAAATGGAAAATGGGCCGAAAACGGCAAACTAACCACGGCCTTAATATTTCTGACAAGTAGCCATCTTGTTATCTAGGCCTGACATGAAAGAATAGACTGACGAATTGATGGTAGAGTGATTGTTGTAGAGAGGTTACATCAATCAATCATAGAATATCTTGTATGAAGGTTGTATGGGAAATGTGCCTTATACATCTAGAGGTGGTTCAATTGGGACTGCAATGCATCACCTTGTCCACGAGGGTTCAGCCCCTGCATTGGGTTCAGCGGAATGCATCACTTTGACTATTGAAGGTCGTTGGATTGGCCATGTAGGAAGTGAGGTGAAGTGCGGTCTTGTGTTCGTTTATTATGTGACTGTCACGTGGTCATACTTGGAACCTTATTGGATGAGGCATGATATTTGTTTCTTTATTTGATGGTAAATATATCTCTAGAATTTTTATCACGTGTTGGGAATACGAACAAATCCAGTTATATATTCGACAAATATTCGATGGCCCCAAAGACATGAACTTATCATAATTAATATGGTCAGAGCTGAGAACTGTCATACATGTTCACGAGAGTGCTAAATGAGGATCAGTGTAAAGATATGCTTCTAAATATTCCTCTTAAATGCTTGAATGAATTAGAATGGCCAACAGAGTATTTATTTACTAAAAATGTTAATATTCTCTGCCTAGAAAGTTATATAAGGTTGTTTACTTAGACTAAGCCTCTTTTGTGCTTGTAGTTTGCTTGCATTATTAACATACAGTTATGTTTATAACAGGCGGTCAAGAGCCCAAACCTCGACTATTCTCACTTTATTTCACTTCCTTTGGCTATCCATCCTGGACTGGTTGATAAACTTGTCAATTTTCAGAATTCAATACTTGGAATTGTAGAACCTAATCAAGGTGAGGATTTGGATCCTAATTCAAGTGGTGATGCTTCTGATGAGGAAGACAAGGATCAGCAATCAGATAAAATACCACTAGTTTCTGTTGCTCTCAAAGCTGAAGATGCTGATGCTCATGTTAAAATTAATATAACCAATGTACCTCTTGTAAGTTACCCTGCTAAAGTGTCAAAATCTCCTGCCTCGGATTTAAAGTCTTCTAAATTATTAGGTACGTGAACCGCAGAGTCTTATTTATCCAAAATTAATGCTTTTAATACGTTCTCTTTTAGCTTTGTCTGTCTGCTGGGAGTTGTTTTGAATTCATTTTATTTTATTTTTCATTTTCTTAATTGGGTTGATGGAAAAATTATCCCACCAAGGCTTGCAAATTTTCCTCAACACCCCCTTTTGTTTATGAACAGCTTAAAAACCCACTAAGGTTTTGAAAACTTGCAAATGATTCCATGTTTCCGTGTCTTGCAATAGTTCTATCAGTATACTGATATGGGGCTATATTTATTCAATATCTAAAATATCTATTTTTATTCAGATTTAGGGATTGAAAAGTCTATATTTATCAAACCAAAAACGTTTCACTTGACGGTTCTCATGCTAAAGTTATGGAATAAGGACCGAGTTAAAGCAGCTGCTGAGGTTTTGCAGGTAAAGTTTTTTCCCATTAAATTATTTAGGCAGCTTATGATTTTGTTGACAGTAATTTTGCTCCTATCCTTCCAGAGTGTCTCATCAAAAGTACTTGATGCTTTGGACAACCGGCCTGTCTCTGTTAGACTCAAGGGGCTGGTAAAATTTCCCTCTCATTTGACATTTGATAATAGGTTTACCATTTTGTAATGAGTTCGTGCAAGTTTTTGCTTATGTTTATGTTAATTTGACCAAAATTCTGTTGACTTTTCTCTTCCCTTTCTTAAATTGATGTTACTAGACTCTTTCCGACCCTAAGAAAATGTTAGCACATGGTTACCTGTTCATTATGATTAAGTGAAATGATCATTTTCTATTCACCTTTATCTTTGGTGTTGAACTGAACTGCATCTGCATTTGTTCGAACTAATTCAAAGCATGGATCTAATTGCTTTATCAATGTGCAATGTCACCAGAAAATAAGGCTAATCTTATGGATGATATTGTGTAAAACGATTCTTGCAATAGATGGTTTTGAGATGAGATTATGAAGCCCATCTTTCTTCATGAAATGGGATCATGGAACCTCATTGGTTGTCTTAATTTTTCTTGTATTATCAGTGTTGGTGGCATTAAGGTTTTACATGCCTTGCCCTTGCAGGAATGCATGAGAGGATCGTTTGCCAAGGCCCACGTCCTTTATGCTCCCGTTCAGGAAATTGGTGGCGAGGACCGACTTTTTCGTGCCTGTTGTATCCGTATTTATGGGATCTATTTATCTCTATGCTAATATTGTTGATGTTTACAGGAACAAGAGTTGGTTGGCTTTTATAAGTATGCAATAATAATTTCTTATTTTCCTAAGCTTTTTTTAGACACCATCATTGATGCATTTGTTGAGGCTGGTCTAGTTATTGAAAAGGATGTGCGGCAGAAGCTAAAGGTACTATGTTCTCCTTCATTAGAAGAATATTTTATCAGGTCCAGGACAAATTGTTTGTTTACACATTGCTTACTACATTTTCTATGTTTTCAAGTGTATTTATTCCATCACTCTCTCTCTCTGATGCTTTGACCCCCTCTTGATTGTTGCAAGTCTATGCATTTATATGGGCGAAGGACTATGCTATTGATCTAAATTATCCTTCGTTTCTCCTTTGTATATTTAGGTTATGCCTGCAGAAAAATAATCTTTTACTTATAAGATAGGGCCATGGTTGTATCCATTCCATTGAGGAAGCCGATAGGGAAAATGAACTTCTACCCTATGGCTCAGTCTATCTTTGTTATTTTTCTATTGAGAATCCTAGGATTAAAACTTTAGAAAGTGTTTAGATATCAGGAACTGTGCCCATCTAACTGGGAACATTGTGGAACCAGAATTACACTTCTTTCCATCAAATGTCAATTCCTTCCATGTTTAAGCATTATTTTCCTTGGTGTCTGTAGAGCACGTGATTCTACTAACTTCTATACCTAATGTTTTCTGTTGGAATTAATGTTGACAAAGGCATTTTCATCTTTGGATTGTAGTTGCATGCTACTGTTATGAATGCACGACACAGAAAAAGGTACTGCAGCTATTCTTTTATTTAGTTCTATATTCATGTATCTAAGACTTTTGAAATCTTTTTCTATGTTGATAAGTATACCATTATGATTCAGTCTATTGGGGAAGCTTATATGGCCCTTTTTTTTTATTTTTTTTTTATTTTTTTACCTTTAGGAAGAGAAGAGCAAGAATGCTCGATTCATTTGATGCCAGAGGAATCTTTGATGAATATGGTTCTGAGGAATGGGGAGAGTATCTTATACGCGAAGCTCATCTTTCTCAAAGGTTTGCTTTTGATGAGAATGGATATTACCATTGCTGTGCTTCCATTCCATTTCCTGAAAGCATGCAACTAGATTGATTTGTATACATTGACGATTTACCCCCTTGTATAATAGGAATAGAATGATTGATTTGGAAAGTTCTCCTGCTCTGATAGTTGTTAACGTTCATCAGCTTGTACCATACTCAGGTGCTTCAGAGTGAAGCTTTTAAATGAAAGACATATTTATTATCTTCTATACTCAAAGAAAATATAATGAGCTTTTTATTGATTCATGATGGAATATGTTAGTCAAAGAACTGATTCAAGTCTTTCTGTTTTATTTAAGTAATCTTATGTGGAGGTGAACTTTCTTCAAATTGTTGGGGCACTGGAATAGTCTCTTGCTTGCACAAAAATTGCTATCAAGTATACTACACAGCAAAAAATGCTAACAGGTTAAACTTAATTTATCTTTAGTTTGCAAGTCTACCATATAGAATTAAAATATATTCACGATTATGTCCCCTGATCGCATAATTCTCCCTCTTAAGTTCATGAGATGGGAGAGGTTTCATCTAGCTTGCGCTTTGTGTCTGCGCAATTGTGGTTTATTTCAGCTGCATTATTGAAAAGCGAATCTGCAGGTCTAACTAATATCCTGACTCTCCATTGGGCTTGGGTTGTTACTAGTTCATATTGGTCAATGCTTACCGCACTCTTTGGCCATTACGGTATGGTTATTGGAGACTAAGCTCATGTCCTCTCCTTCTGTTTTTGTTTGTGCTTAGAAGGGTATCTAGGGATGCTGAAGGGGTGAGTGTAAGATTTGATAAAAGGTAGTCTAGCGCTCATTCTTATGCATGTTATAAGTGAAGATATTGGCCCGCATAAGATCTACTTTATTTCAAGGAAAGCTATTTCTTTCAGAACTGGAAGAAAAAGCTGTTAGCCTCTTGAATGAAAATGAGAAATTAAGAATGCTTCCTTCTTTCAATGAATTTAACCAATTCTGCACTGTCAATTTGGCATGGCCACAAGAGTAATGCATGCTTTAGCTTGACCTCAAACTTCCTTTGCATTTTATCTAGCATGGCCAGGAAGTTTCTGAGGGGAAACTATCAGTTTTGTTGTTAGTTACCAATGATATGGTTCCCTATTACCTTGCAGTGGTTGGACCCAGAATAAAGACTTTTTAATGGGTAGGTTTTGATTAATTGAAAGGGATGTTTATGGATTTTGAAATGGGTTGCTGCATTTTTAAGGCCCAACTGATATACTAGTCCAGTAAGCCATTTATATGAGCCCAATAACCCATACCAATTAACCGGATTTTGGATCATTCTGGAATGGAGAAAAACATGTTTTCTCACTTGATACATACACACGCCTTCATGGATGATTGACACTTGGAATGATGCGGACCGTTATGAATGACTTTTGGGCTTATCTCATATAAAAGGTGGCTTTACATTCATTTTAGGGTTTTTCTTTTGAGTTATTTTACTCTCTTTGTCTTCGTGTTCTCTCTGTATATGTGTTATTGGTCATCAACTGGATATCCTAATGAGTGATTTTTGAATGAAATTGCTGAGTTTGAGAGACAGTCTTAGTAACACATATTCTTCGTGAGTGATTGCTGAAAAGAGAGCTGGAGAGATCAGGTTTTCTCGTTGAAATCCTACTGTTTTGAACTATACTCATCTCTTGCCCATTTTTATTTTTGAGGGCTTTATATTGGATTGGAGCGATATCCTTAGGGATGCTCAATAGGGGACTAATCGTCAGAAGCGGTATCTGAACCTCCGGGACCTTTGGCCAAAAAATCTCGTGTTCTTGTTATTTTTGAAGCATTTTTCATTTAGTTTTACTAACAATTTTTTTTCTTTTCAAAGCAAAGATCTAAGTATCTAGGACCAACAATGGGCTTCGTTGTGAGGCAAACTTGGACACTGCAGAAATTCCTAGCTTTTGACTTGATGTGTCAATATTATTGTAATTTCCTGTGTAGTACAGGAAGTACATATTTTACTCTCTAATTGCTGGTGCTCAGATTATAGACTAAAAACAGAAAAGTTGCATGTAGCCTTCGGAAGGACCCTTTTTTCAGTCCTCTTCCAAAGAGAGAGCATGCTGGTGATTATATATTGCCAAGAAAAGCTACTCTCTACTTTTAGTGATACCTACTATAAAAAATTCAAATACTTGAGAAATATAAAACATCAAAGATAGATGACATCTTCTTAAGTTGTATATTGATGGGTTATACATAGTGGAAGTTTGCTACCAATGTCCTATCCAGTGTTTTCTAGATACCTAAATGGATATTCCTCTTGAAGTTGTTTGCTCGGCTGGTTCTGCTATTTTAGTTATTATTTCTTCTAGTTCATAAATCACTGCCCTGAATCTTCTTCTCTACCCATGAAGGTGATAACACTGGACTCAGTTTGCAATCCGGAGTTTTTGGGTGCTGATCATTTGCTTCTGATTTCTCCAGTTTCTCTCTCTCTCTCTGCGGGATAAACTGACTCTCCATACCTTAGAAGTTTGATCTAGGCGGGCGCTATAGATTAACAACCTGTCATAATTTCCTCAGTTTCTAGAGCAGCAGCCAAGCACTTGACTGGTTCATCATGACCATCAATGACTGCAAGCCATGAATGGAAGGAGTTCCCATCTCTCAATATTTGTATGATTGCATCCTCTGAACCACTAAGTATTAGATCTTTTATTGTTGCTAAACAAAGAACTGCAAAATGATGGCCTTGCAAAAATCCCCCTTGATTATACTAGACATTCTTTCCTTTTCCTAGAAGTTTATCAGTCCATTTGATGAGCCCGAACAGAGGATGCGCTCGTCAGGATTTTCTGGAGATGGTTGAAACTTAAGTGTCATTGTCAAAATATGTGAGCTTTCTATAAAAAAAACCGTTCTCCATATTTTCACTGTGCCATCAGAAGAGCAAGTGAAGACACATTTATCTTCTTGGTTTAAGACAATGGCATTGACATGGCCTGCATGAGCAACAAATGAGTCAAAACGTAATCTTTCTGATATATTCCACACCTTAACTGTATCATCCCATGATCCTGTGTACAAGAGCTTCTCCTTGTGATTGAATGCTATGCATGAGATAGAATCTCTATGTTGCTCATTATTCTTCTTCAGATAGGAGAAGAATGACCTTTTCTGAGGCAAGGTGACCGTCTTCTTTGGTCTAAAGTTTTCTGGCAATGAAACATCCCACACACGGATTCTGTAGTCTTCATGTGTGGTGAAAAGCATTTTCCAGTAAGCTAATATGGCTTGAATTTCACCAATTGTAGCCTCGATACATCCCATCTCCGTACAATCTTGTTGTTTATGGATCCTACTGCTTGCAGACCCTGTAAAAATGAAGTCGCTTGTGACTGCTATAGAGAAGATGTTTACCTTTGCTGTGATAGAGTGAGGCTAAGCAGCGATATAGAAGAGGTGGAGATAAAGAGGCACGGACGGGGGAACGTGTCCATGGTGTCTCGGGGCTAATAGGCCAAAGCGGAAATGAAGCTGCTTGACGCTCAATATGTTCTTTGCTGAAGTGAATTCAGAATGAGCCTCATTGTTTACAAATGAAAATCTTCGAGGTAAGTCTGTGTTCCCTTTCTTCATCCATCAAGTTCCAATGGGGATTTTCACCACTGAACTCCATGAAAATGTTGCAAAGTTTGGAAACGATACTGAAGGAAAAACTAACTTTCTAAGAGATTCAATAGTACACATATAACTTGGTTGCTTTCTCGAGGAACATCACTTTGAGATAAAGTCGAGGAATTTAATCAGGAGTTTATATGGTGTCATTGAGTAGGTTGTAAACGTGTACAAGTTATGATATTGCTACTTTTGACAATTCACAGCGCAATGTAGGGAAATTGGAAGTGTGTATTGACTGTTCTATCAGTGTCTTATGCCATTTATCTTTAAAAAAAAAAAAAAAAAAGGTTGAACCTCAACTTTGAGGACCCTCACCGTCCCGCCCCTAGAGCTTTGTGAGGGAGGTAAATCGCGGGATGTGCCCTAGCAGGCCAGGGAACAAGAGTTGTCTGTACACTGCGCCTGCAAGGAGTACAATTCCATGTCTCAAGAATCGAACTCCGACACTGCGGCTGCCAGCAAGGCGTGAGATAACCTCACTTCTATCATTTGCACCACTGGACTATACCTCGAGGCACCATTTATCTTTTATGAACATGGGCAGGGTGTGCATTAGGCACTATTAGCCCAAGTAGTCCTGAAAATTTAAATGATGTAATTTTCATAGTAAATCACATTTCCTCATGATTTATTGGCTCTGACAGTAGGTTGGTTGCATGGTAAGGAAAGTGCTGCAAGTACCTTTCTGAATAATGTTTTGACGTATCCCTGTTGAGCACATAAATTAAGTATTGCACACTTTGTTCTAAATTATTCACTTTGTTTAAGGTTAAATGTGAATTGTTCTATTTTGGATGGAAGGATTTTTGTGCTCCAAAGTATATTCATTGCCTGCTGATCATGGGGATGCTGAAAGCCTGCAAAGTTTTAGTCAGTTACATGAATCTTTTTTTTGCTAATGTGAAGTGGGTAATTTTTTAAATTTTACGGAGTAAGTCTAGAGTTGTTAGTTGTTTTGCGTAAAAAAATAAATTAAAAAAAATAAATAATAGTAATAATAAAAAAATAAAATAAAATGAAATAAAATTGTGTCCTCTCGAGATAAATAATTCAATGACAGTGTGGCATTGCATGTTAATAGGGTACTCTTGATTTGCCCACACCACTTGTTCCATTCATTCAAGGCAAGGGCCATAAATTCTTTATACAAAAGATTTTTTTAATTTTTTTTAAAATTTTTTTTTTAACTTTTTTCCTCGAGAACTATTAACAAGGTAAATTTACTTTTACTAATGCGGCAATGAATTTTAAAAATCAAAAGGGATAAAAAAAAAAAGCCAAACCCGAATTATTGATCATTTAATAGAAAAATACACGGTATGTGATATGCATGATTATGTTAATCTACGAACATGTGTACTATGCTTGTCTTGGGTAGAAAAATGATGAATAGAGAACATTAGGTGCATATTTAGCATGCAATATAATTTTCCTAACGTCCCTGCTCTTTTTAGCTTCTGTTATGTCCCTATTTAGCAAAGCGTCCATAGGCATATTGATGCGGCCAATACTTAGCTGAAGTTGGGCGGGGGCTAAAGGATTGAATGAAAAGTGCAATAGTAAGTTAATTATAATGCAATAATTTAGTCAAAATCCAAATTATAAAAAAAAGGTTGAACCTCAACTTTAAGGGTTCCTCATCGTCCCGTCTCTAGAGTATCATGAGAGAGGTTAATCACGGAATTTACCCCAGCAGGCTAGAGAATAAGAACTGTTTGTACACTGGTGTCCACAAAAAGTCTCAATCAATATTTCAAGAATCGAACCCTTATATTACGACTGTCAGTAAAGCTGAATATATTTCACCCTTACCCTTTGCACTACTGGGATATGCTTTGGGGGCTCAAAATCCAAACTATACTTCATGTAAAGTGGTTAATTATTGAGTAATTAAGATGTCCAAATGGTAAATAGTGATTGATAATGACATGAATATTCCTAAAACTTCAATTAATTGATAATGACATGCAAATAATTGAAATAAATGGGTTTGTATTATAGTGTTGAATAAGAATAGTTTGCCCTTCCCCAAATTTTCTTCTATTTTAATCATCTTGCTACCTAATCACCCACCCCACCCTACCCTATAGGCCATGTGAGTGTGGGTTTCGGGTTTAAGGGGCTAAATGATATTTTTTAATTTACTTTTGAGTCCCTTAATTTTCTGTGTACTTTCTAGAAACCCTCCAAAAGAAACTTGGCTTTATGGTTCTATCTTAGTTAACCCCCTTTTCCACTTTTTGCTTCATCATAGTCTCCTGTCTTGCTAGAAACATGAACTATATAAATTATAACCTAAAATTTTTATTTATTATGAATGTAATATATATTTTGTAAGGTTGGACAAGTCTGTTTATACTAAGTCCCAATCGAATTTAACCAATTTGTATGAAGTAAGTAGCAATGGTTGAATATACCTTTTTTTTTATTTTTTATTTTAGGCCACTTTAGTCTCCATGAATACAAACTTTCGAGTTCTCATCCATGTCCGTACAATTGAATTAACAACTTATTGATTAACTGATGCCGACTGTGATGACAAGAACAATAGAGAGAAAGAAGAAAGTAGGAAAAAAGAGAATGAGGGAAGATAATAGATTTTATTCAATACTCAAAGCTCTATATTACAATCCAAGAACTTTAATTTATAGGTTCCAAATAACGATAAAAATGTAAAGTTGCAATAAAAAGGAAAAACTAGAATTTCCTTTTATTTAAAAGGAAACAAATTATTACTCTACCAAAACAAGAAAAGCAATAATGAAAATTCAATCTTTAATTGATTTGATTCCGATTACGCCTAGAATATACTTTCCAATTTGCATCATTCCTCCCCGACGCACTAGAAACCGATGAAAACTACCATTCTGCAAAGCAACAAACTGATCATCAAGTACCTCATCAATGACATCCTGCAAAGAAAATGGGGTAACAGGATCTCGAGGAGGCAGTCGTGAAGACTGTTCTGCATAAATGTTAGGCGACAATACTGGAGACTCAAATGTGACTTGATAAGGATATAAATCTATTATATTGAAAACATGACTAATATTTAAGTGCGTTGACAGCTTAAGTTCCAAGCCGTTTAATGATGGGGAAAGGCCCTAGTGATCTAGCACAAAGTTTCTTTGCAGCATGTTTGGGGAAACTTTCAGGTGCAAGGCGAACCATAACATAATCGCCTGCGTTAAATTCTTTATGCCTACTGTAGGGATCAGCAGATAATTTATACTGATCATTGCTTAAAGAAATTTTACGTTTAATCTCATCATGCAAGTCACAAATATGATCATCAAAAGCTTGAGACGAGGCAGTAGGACGAAAATCAGGAGGCAAAGGGATTAGATCAAGCGGCTAGCGAGGAGAGAAACCCTAAACCACCTCAAAGGGACTATGACCAGTAGATCTATTAGCAGAATTATTGTAAGCAAATTTAGCGGTGGGCAACACAAGATCCCAATTCCCTGGTTTATCCCTAAGCAACGAAGTAGATTACCCAAATTACGGTTTACAACTTCAGTTTGTCCATTGGTTTGGGGGTGAAATGCATAAGAGAACTTAAGCGTCGTCCCAAAGAGTTTCCACAGCATCTTCCAGAAGTAACTAACAAACTTGACATCACGATCTGACACGATACTAACCAGTAGTCCATGGAGACGGACAACCTCTTTGAAGAACAACTTTGCAATGTAGGACGCATCAGAAGACTTAGAGCATGGGATGAAGTGTGCTATCTTAGAAAACCTATCGACCACCACAAAGATGGAATCATGACCTCGAGCTGTTTTGGGTAACCCAAGAACAAAGTCCATACTAAGGTCACACCAAGGAATATGAGGAACCGGAAGAAGAGTATACGTCCCAGTATTTTGACGTTGTGCCTTACCCAATTGACATGTACGACATTGAGAGACAATGCGATAAATGTCTCTCTTAAGGGACGGCCAATAAAATCGATCCTCAATTAAGGCGATTGTTTTTATCCCGATCGAAATGACCAGCAAGACCTCCGGCATGTAGTTCCTAGACTAGGAAATCATGAAGTGAAGGACGGGGGATACATAACTTGGTACCTTTGAAAAGATAACCATCTTTAAGCAAGAAGGAAACATGGTCGCGAGAAGGATTGTCTAAAAGGTCATGAAAGATGGTGCCAAAGTCAAGACAATTTGGATAATCGTCCTTTAAGCGCTCAAATCCCACCACAGTTGTGCTCATCGACTGAAGCACCGTAGTGATACGACTAAGAGTATCAGCCGTTTTATTTTCGACACCAGTAGATGATGGAGAACAAAAGTGTACTTCTGAAGAAATTCAACCCACTTAACATGGTGCTCACTTAAATGGCACTGGGAGTTAAGGAAACAAAGAGCCTGATGATCAAAGTATAGAATAAACTCTTGAGGTAATAAGTAATATCGCCAATGACGGAGAGACTGGACAATGGCATAGAACTCCTTGTCAAGCCCGTCATAGCTTGAAAAAAGAAAGAGACTTATTGAAAGCTAATACCAAGTTTATGGAAGGCATAAGAGTTGTTCTTCTTCTATACCGTCACTTGAATGAAGACACCCGATCGGCCCGACTTTCCCAAATTCCCAAATAGAGGGGATTCCAATTCTATAGCACCGTCTTCTTCCGAAAGGGAC